CATTAGGGCCAGGGATTTAGCTCAGTGGTTCCTCTGCCTGCCTTGCAAGCTCAAGGTCCCGAGTTCGATCCCTGGTACCAAAAAAAAAAAAAAAAAATTCTGACATTAAACATAGGTCCAAGTAAGGACTTTCTCTAAGTATAACACCAATTGCACAATAAGTAACATCAAAAATCAACAAATTTTTAAATCAATAAATTGATTTAATTGTATCAAATTAAAAAGCCTCTGCCTAGGAAAGGAAACAACCAGTAGAGTGAAGAGACAACCTATAGAGTGGTTAAAAAATTTGCTAGCTACTCTTCAGACAGATGATGAATGTTCAGAATATATATAATATAACTCAAAAAATCACACCTCCTATAATAAAAGATTCAATCAAAAATGGGCAACTGAAATCAACACTTCTCAGAAAAGTACAAATGGTCAATAAGTACATAAAAAAATGTTCACTTCCCTTGCCATCAGAAAACTGCAAATTCAGACAACATAGGGATTCCACCTTACTCCAGAAAGAATGGCTATTATCAAGAAATAAACAATATAACAAATTCTGGAAAGGATGCAGGACACAGGATGGGTACCCTTCTATACTGTTGGTGGGATTGTAATCCAGTACAACCACTCTAGAAATCAATATGGAGATTTCCCAAAATACTAAAATTAGCTCCAAAGTCCACACTTTCAAGATATACACGTGTCAGGCATGGTGGCACACACCTGTAATCCCAGAACGCAGGAGGCAGTGGCAGGAGGATTGGTGCAAGCTAGGTTAAGAAACATGACCACTCAGCAGCAGCGCCATCCTGAGGTGGCTCAGTCTTTGAAGATTAGATTGTCCACCAACCCATATGAATACAGGGGTAGATAATACTTTCTGAAGAATTAAACTATTTTTTTCATCTAAATTCTCTGATCTCCTTTGTTCCTCTTGCTGAAGAGCTTCCAGATGAACTAGTGTATTCTCAGATAATCCTTACCATTTGTCCCAGCTCTAGGAGCAATGTGTTGGAAAGAATGGGAATAAAAGAGACTGTAGAATTGGAGACAGTTG